TTGCGGAATATGGTGAACAGAATCACTCACCTGGAAAGAATTTGGTTTACAAAGTAATCACTACTCAACCTGCAACCGCATAAAGCAGTACTATTCGGTCGAGATTAGAGGAAGGTGCTTTTATTAGTTAAACAGCACTATTCTATGGGTCTCTACAATTTCTGTGCAAGACTGAAATTGTCAGCCAAACATGAACTGCACTCGTGTCGAGAATGAAATGCAAAAGAAAATAGGTAAATCGATGTAGATCACCATTTCAGCGATGTTGCTGATACCTCTCAAGCAGCATGAACACAACTGATGTGTAAGTAATTTCCGAGTAGCTTTTTCGTTTTCTTTTTTTTTGAAGAGGGTGGGGTGGACGGGAGTTATCTCCAAATGTTAAAATACCCCCGATTCCGAGACAATCAATGAAGATGCTACCGAAAGGAATCAAAAGGTCGTCCGCATATCCTAGGAGTACCATTGTTGTCTGTTCATCCATACCAGAAGCTTCATTTATTCTAATTCTTGGTGACTGTTTGAGGACCATAACGGTTGTGATACTCAGTGGTAAAGTAGATGTTTTCGAGTCGGACAGCTGGCCAATGTGAAACTTTACTGAACTCAAAAAGCTCCGAATCGGAATTCGTCTTTCTGGGGTAGGACCGACCAAATGGGCGTTATGTAACTCTTCAAATAATGAGGCAACCGAATATCCCAAGATTGTGTCTATGTACAGTGTATCTGAACTAATAATTTCAGATTTAATCAACTCGGTAACCCTTTTGATATGGGTTCTGCGTCCATTTTCCTGTTCTTGCCGCTTATGCAACTGTTTAGGTGACGGTGACAATTATCTGCGTGTGTTGAGGAAGACAGTTTCAAGTGAACAACAATAATTTAAGCAAGAACCAAGACAACCAGGAGCATGCTATAGTCGGGAAACTAGGAAACTGTCGGTAACCTTTCTGGGTTTTCCTATAAACAGTTTATTTGATCCAATGTCCTGGATAATCATCGAGATATCCTGTTCCCGTTCGCCTTACAGTCTCAACTCACACCCTTTTCGGGATACATTTATCATAAATAAATTGCCACGCACAATAATGAACAATGAAAAATCGGTGTCTGCTTGGGAAAACAAAAATAGTTGGTCATCAAGTCTGGTCGGAGAATGTATCAAATTTGGAGAACCAACGGTGGACAGAGGAGCGTCACATCATGTGTGTTCAATAATCACCGCCACCAGTGATTGTTGCGTGCGAGCGCGAGAGTGTAAAACAGGATCCCCAAACGTGTTCACTCCATATACTGTAGTATAAGAAAATGGAAAAGAAATATATTTTTATGCGATGGAAATGTTTGTCCTGTTTGTGACTCATTAGATGTGCGTACTTTTCGTGTCCCTATCAAGACTCCAACCGTGAACCGCACTGCTGACGAGTCCTATTCAGGACGAAACAGCTGTCCAGTGCGCTTTGCGATTATCACAAACATTTCCATCGCATTTAAATGCATTCAACTAGCGGGAAGTGGAACCCATACCCCGGACCATCAAGAGGGCCTGATCCCTCTGAACAATCGAATGGACTGATCCAAGCGTTCATCGTCTAAAATGTCTTTTTACTCCATTCTTTATTAATTGAATATACAAATGTACATTCAACTTTCAGGAAGAGGGCCGCAGCCATACTAAGGCTACCTGGGGAGATACAGAAATAGGGAATAAGGGCGGCTTTGGAGGGGTTCTATCCCGGGACTTCCGGGTCACAATTTGATGACCTAACCACTTGGCCACCCCCGTTCAAGTTCGGAACAAATGTTTTTTATTCGAGATAGAAAACGAAATCGGCTCAACACCTGTGGCCCACAGACATCTAAGTGGCAACTGATTTAATCCGTTGAGTATTTGTAGATAAAAGAAATGGATTTCCTCCAGTTGTTGCGAAACATAACGTCTCAATTACGGGCATTTGTGAATAGTCAGTCCGATACAACTTTAGAGCATCTAACTGGATAATGTGAGTGTGAATTACCTCATACAATCTATGCGTATTATTGTAGTATAATGATCTCATGGATTTTTTACTCTTTTCTTATCGTGAAGGCTTCAACTTTGATCATTTTCCCACTAAACAGCTCTGATTAGTCATTGAAATGAGAGAAATTTGCGTTTACCTGGCACTGCCCCTGTCGCAAACCTACTTGTTAGCCTGTGTGATGTTTATTCGATCTATCCACACTTCTTTTTTTCTTGTTCATCCGCTTTATTTTACTTCCTACCTCATTAATAACCCTTCATATAATTTACAGTGATGCTTTAACACAACAAGGTTTCAAAAACATACCGGTGCAAGGCACTAAGGTTTATCTGAGAAGTCCTCAATATACAGGGGATGACTAAATACTCCCGCGTGCCCCCCCCTCCACCACCGATTCCCCAAAATTGAGCAAAAGAGCATAAGCATCATCAAAGACCTCGTCCAAAATCATCAAAGAATCACGACAACTTGTTCCGTTATATATCATCAAAATCATAGCAAAGTGGTCTGAAATACGCATGATCAGTGCATGATGTAGGTCAGCCTTGAGCAAGGATTCCCACTACATGAATCAAGTGGAGACTGACCACCCATCCACCCCCTCCGCCGCCTCCACTCACATACGGGTAGCTAACGTTAGCATTTTCTAATAAATGCTGTATCAATCCGCTTTCTTGCCCCAACCAAACGAACTCTTGTTTATGTACCAACGAGTCATACAGGAAATTGTTTTGGTAAGCTGTTTACATATTGCTGGAGAGTATAATTTACGTATGCAACAGCAAGTAATTCATTCGGGCACTTGTTTGATGTTTGCTGGGCTAATGGTTCTTAGTTGGAGATTCAACACTGATCAATCTTTTTCTGTAATCATAATCAGATGACCGAGGACTAGATAGAAAGGTGTCACGTTTTTTCAAAGTCGAATCAGCAGGGGGGCTTCTAACAAAGGGAGTAGGTTGTACGGAAGCAACATCAATGGCACAATACGCGTGATACCCAATTTTCAGACTTGAAGATGATTTGATGATCACATGGTCATGCTAAAGCATCTCTGGTGGGCTTTTGATAATGGTATCAGTTCAGTTGGTATACTTGGCGCTTTTAATCAATAGATAACACCAAATCCGGAGTCGTCACCTGTTCACACTGATCATATCTTGGTTCTGGGCGAAAAACTGCACCGGTTGGATTTTATATTTACCAGTTGTGTTATTCTTTTGTTAGCCTAGGGTTAATCTTCAGCTCTCCAATCTTGCTGATCGTCTACGATAGACAAATGTGAGGGGAAATATGAAAATAGTACAGTCCGGGAAGATCATAAGTCAGAGGGCATAGCTTAATTGAGCAACAACTCCTTCGCTCATTGTGGAGCAATGAAACTGGGAACGTTTAATTCTAAACTGAAACGATATCAAATGATTTTTTTAAACTGAGGTTGAAATTCATAACCTCGGCGGGTTCAACAGTGGAGCAATCATGATTTGGACAAAACTGAAAAGGAAGAGCTCGTATTGATCATGCGAAGAACGGTATGGTATTCGGAAGCATTAAATACATTTAGCTACGCAAGAGAACTGACTATTTTTCCATGGAAAATTAGAAAATTAGGTTGGTAGAGCACATCAATTTATTGAATACACTAATGGGACTTCACACGATCCTCCACTCTCGTTTGCAGTGCCCAGTTCGCTCACACTCGCAGAACCATAAATTCGGACCCCAAACCTCCTGTATTGAGGTGTTCATCAAACTACATTTTGTGAATTCAAATGTATATTTTTGTGAAGGCACATGCACTGATCAGTAAATTGCATTTTCTATTCGACCCCTATACAAACTAGAAAACACTTCGATTCGGAGGAAACGAGGATATTTGAATGCTGTCGAATTCCACTGCTAATCTGGCACTTAGTTAGTTACACAACCTGACTCATTTTGAGGCTTAGAATGCAATGCTTAGTCCGGAAAACAATGATCCTACTCATCCTGTGCTTCTGTCTTTTATGAAATATTAATATAAAATTCCAGAAAAATGGGATAAGCAAGTCATTGAGTGGCATCTGGAGAACAAAAGAATGTCAGTTGTGACGTTTAGAACTCATGACTTCCAGCCCAGTGGTCACCAGGATTTCAATGTGACCAACTTTCACGGAGCTGTGGATGCAAAAAATGTCACCCATGTTTCGAGTGAATGGCTTTACTTTCGTATCCTACAGAATCGAAATTGCATACATTTTGTTGGCATTTTACTTCACGATTGTAATACGTTATGGATTTGTTCCGGAAGATGAAATGGGTCAGGGATTTTTGAGTAACAAACAACAAACAAAAGGACCTAGTTCCGTTTTGAGTTAGACCATTGAATAAAATAAGTGAGGTCACCAGACGCTATCGTGGGGTGTTTCTGAATTCAAGAAATGGTGCTCTCAATGTAGTACGTGCTTGTCAATTAGTGATCAACATTTGACTGGTCCAGCGCCAACAATAAGGAATACGCACAAAATAAGCCAATAGTCATAATCAGAACACGAATCGTAGGCCTAAAATCTATTTTCTGAATAAGGAATAATTTGAATTACCGTTGATTTAGATAAATATGCAAAATTTAACACGGAATGTCCAATATAGTTGTCATCTGTTTGCGCAAAATATTGTCGTAATCTGCACCCAGCTTTAAGTGATTTGTCATTCATTGGACTGCTGGGGAATAAATGTTCTATTTAATATTACACTACTTTAATTAGGTGAGTAGTAAAACACCGAAATATAAAATAGTAAACGAATAACTCTGTGTACACGATGAACATCTGAGTAAACCTGGATACTTAAGGTTGAATCAACAGAAAAAAAGAATGAAATTCTTAAACAAAATGAAATCTTGTTCAGCAAATTGAAGAGATCCCGAAATTCACAGATGATTACTTTATTCGACCAGATAAAGAAACTCATGTGATACAATCTCAGCTTACTTACCTGTGCTTCTAGTAGTAATGACATTTGTTGCATGGACGCATTGACGAGAATTAAATGCTCCAAACTGGACTCGGCCACGTGTGGATCGATCTTTTTCTTTCGGCCGCGAAATTTACAGCCATGTGAAGCAAACGGACAAGGCAAATCTTGTTTCGTACACTCGGTTGTCAAGTGCTCAGTTAGTTGGCTACGTGGTATCTCGTGCGCCTTACAGCCATTCGGACAACTGACCGGGAATTTCGGGCAGACCCCAATGTGTTTCAGTTCGTTTGCCGCCATCAGAAAGGCATCGCAAAATTTGCATTTCTTCGAGCGCTTTGGACAATCATCGTTCAAATGCTGCTCCACGTAACGTTGCTAAACATTAACAGGATGGAACGAAGACAAATCTGATGAGAAAAGTCAGGTCTTACATGGCAAAACAATAAGGTGACGAATTCGATCGAAACAACTGTGGTGCATATTCAGTTTGATCCCAATGTTAGGAGGATGGACTGTTATTCTGAAGCGGGTAGCAACTAAGCTATCCGAGATAGATTTCAGTAGCTTACAACCAGTCAGAAACTATTTGATATAGGACTCGTCCATCACTAGCATTGAGATAAAATAGTATGATCAGAAGTAGTAATGGTCTTAGTAGTGGTGGTGTTCATGTTATTATTATTATTATTATTAATAGTAGTAGTAGTAGTAGTAAAACAACCTGTTCGTGACTCTGATATTTCCATGATGGAGTGGAGTGGAGGAGTTGTTCTTTTTGTCCGCTCGGATCTCCCTGTTCGAGTGCTGGAGAAATACGCCCATCCGGAAGGATTTGGAGAAGCCCTGTGGTGCAGAATGAGGCTTTGTGCCGGAGGATATACCAGAGTTGGAATGATTTACCGCAAACCAGCTGTGTACGTCCCAGAGCTGCTGGCCAGCATACAGAGGTACGCCGGCGAAGGACATTGTCTTGTCTTGGGTGATTTAAACGCGCCCCATGTTGATTGGGAAACTGAAATCTGCTCTCAGCATGCAGATTTGTTCTCCAGAGAACTTCTTTTTTCTGTCCGGGACCTGTCGCTTGTTCAGCATGTTCATGTGCCCACGCGGACAGTTGGGGATCAAAGATGCATCTTTGACCTGGTATTTTTGCCGAGGCAATCGGATACGACTAGGATTGACCTTCCACCAATTGCATCTAATGACCACTCCATTCTGCGTATACACTGGAGACGTGGCATACCCCAAACGGACAGATCACAGGACGAACAAAATGTGTGGCGCTCATCCTTTCCGGATATGCATCCGGCTGCATTGCTCACAAATTGGGATTGAGAATGTGGATGTACCCTGGGAGTTGGTTCATCATAGAATCCAGCAACTCGTACTGGAATTCTCTCCATCTCACCGCCACCGAACACACGCTATGGCCCGCCCTGGTTTGACCGAGAACTGTGGGTGTGCCTCCGGCAGCGGAATAAAGTCTAGTCCAGGTAATGTGCAACAGCCGCAGGATATGAGGAATATCGATGTATTCGGAATCATTGTACTGCACTAAAAAGATGCAAGAGAACCAGATTAGAGGAACGACTAGCAAAGGATTCAGTACAAGTACCAAAGCGATTGTATGTCTACCTCAGGCGAAGAATCAGAGCAATGCCTGGTCTCCCGAATCTCGCCAAAAATGGGGCACTAGCCGAAAAAGATGAGGACAAAGCGGAGATGCTGGCATCACATTATGCCTCCTTGTACACCCCAGCCTCCAGCACACTGGCACATCTATTGGACACTGACGCTGCGCTGAACTGGACTCCATTTACCATCGGAGAGGTGGCCCTGGAGCCGCGTCGACTAAAGGTTCACTAGTCAGATGGACCTGATGGTGTGCATCCGCTGATCCCGAGGGAGCTGGCNGGAGCTGGCAGATGAACTAGCAGCGCCACTGTGCAACCTGTTCAATTTGTTCTTCACTCAAGGGCGTTTACCGTGGCAGTAGAAGGACGCTGTCATTGTTCCGTTACCCAAATTTGGGGATAGGAGTGACCCTGGGAACTATCGAATAGTCAGCCTTACTAGTGTTCTGGGTAAAGTAATGAAGCGACTGGTGGCTGCACGGTTTCGGCAGTATTTGGTGTGCCACGGTCACCTATGCCACCAACAACACGGTTTCCGTCCGGGTCGCTCATGTCTCTCAAATATGCTGCTTGCACGTGAATGCTGGACCGAGGACAAGGCCAAAGGACAAGAAACGGACATCATTTTCCATGGTGGGGCCTTAGAATTTCGGCCGTGCTTTTCGAAATTGGACAACTATTTATGTTTTTTGCAGTGGATACTATTGACCTTNCAGGTCCACATCAGTTCACCAATTTTTTCAAGTTCAAATGCTGACCTACAACTTCCACTTTATGAAATCTTTCTGTGTTTTCGCGAATGACGTTGAAATCTCAGCTTTTTCTCATTCTGTGAAGAATCGTTACCAAAGGCTGAGAAATAAACGTAAAGGTCACCATAAAAAGCATCGCGCTGGCTGGCAGGTTGCGCTCCGTCGAAGTTCCATCAAAAGAATGACCATTCCGTCCATTTTTTTACGCGTAACATTCGCTCACTTGTGGGAAAAATCGCTGGCGTCCAGAATCTGATGCAACAGAAACAATGCAAAGTGTGGTAGTCATTTTACTTCAGGAAAGCTGATTACACCCAGATATTGAGGATGATGTGATCGGGTTAGACGGCTTTGATATTTTCAGGAGTGATCGGATTGTGAAATTTCGCAATAGAGGTGGCGGAGTGGTCATTTTCGTTAATCGAAGTTGGTGTAAGATCACTCGTATGATTTCTTCCTACTCAACAAGTAAAATTAACTGTACTTTTGTTTGCTGCAAGCCCCGCTTTCTTGGCAGATTTCGCTTCATTTACTTTGTGAATATTTATATTGCCCCTGATACACTCGCCCCCAACTTAAGACTATTTTCTGATACTGTATTAACACAATTCGCCAGTTGTATTGATCAGTCCTTATGTATTACCGCTGGTGACTTAATCACTTTGATACCTCCTTTCTAACCACTCTAGGCCTAGAGAACATTGTCAATTTTCCTACCCGTACCAATGCCTTTCTTGATGGCATTTATGTAAATAGTCTCAATGTGTTTCACGTTTTTAAACGAGCCCCAATTAGTACTTCTGACCACTGTAACATTCTTCTTCACCGCAAAATATATTGTAAGACTAATCACTGTCTTCATACACGACCTATTTCTCGTACGCTAAGGAAGAGCAATTGTGCTCGTGAGGACTTGTCCCGACTGCGGGACTTAGTTTCTTCCACTGACTTTTCTGTGTTCTCCCATAACCAGCTGTCTTCTTCTTGTGAACACCTTACCGATTATCTTAACTTCTGCTATGACCATTGCTGTCCGGTTAAAACTATTTATATTCGAACCAATAGGTTTTCCTTCCCCATTCTTAAACGACTTCGTCGTGCTAAAGAGACGGCATATATGGCCGATAGGCGTAGGGTGTGTCAAAGAGCTCTCTGTTCTGATTAGAGCAGAAGTAAGACGCCTGAACGGAATACACGTCAAGACTGGTTTGGGCAATAAAAACGTGCATGAGATATGGACTACCTTGCGGAAACTCTGTGGCTCACGCATCAGTTCTTGTCCCAACGTTGAGGTACTTAACCGTCAATTTGC